TTACATGACTAACACAGCCTTCCTTCTATACACAGACAACAGACACCCAGCTATTCAGACTAACACAGCCTTCCTCCTGTACACAGACTAACACAGCCTTCCTTCTATTACACAGACTAACACAGCCTTCCTTCCTGTACACAGACAAACACAGACACCCAGCCTATTCACAGACTAACAGAACCAGCCTTCACAGACTTATTCCTTCTGTACACAGACAACACAGACACCCAGCTTTCCTTTGACTAACACAGCCACCCAGCCTTCCACAGACAAACACAGACACCCAGCCTATTACACAGACAAACACAGACACCCAGCCTATGCACAGACTAACACAGCCTTCTCTATTACACAGACTAACACAGCCTTCCTTCTATTACACAGACTACACAGCCTTCCTTCTATTACATAGCTAACACAGCCTTCCTTCATTCACAGACAAACACAGACACCAGCTGTACAGACTAACACAGCCTTCCTTCTGTGCACAGACTAACACAGCCTTCCTTCATGCATAGACCCTGCCTTCCTTCTGTTACACAGACAAACACAGACACCCAGCCTTTCAGACTAACACAGCCTTCCTCCTATTACACAGACTAACACAGCCTTTTCTATTCAGTAACACAGCCTTCCTTCTATACACAGACTAACACAGCCTTCCTTCTATTACACAGACTAACACAGCCTTCTGTGCACAGACAAACACAGCTTCCTTCTGTTCACAGACAAACACAGACACCCAGCCTATTCAGACTAACACAGCCTTCCTCCTATTACACAGACTAACACAGCCTTCCTTCTATTACACAGACTAACACAGCCTTCCTTCTATTACACAGACAAACACAGACACCCAGCCTATTACACAGACTAACACAGCCTCCATCCTATTACACAGACTAACACAGCCTTCCTTCTATTACACAGACAAACACAGACACCCAGCCCCTGTTACACAGACTAACACAGACCACCCCAGCCTGTACACAGACTAACACAGCCTTCCTCCTATGCACAGACTAACACAGACACCCCAGCCTAACACAGATAACACAGCCTTCCTCCTATACACAGACAAACACAGACACTGACCTATTCACAGACAAACAGACACCCAGCCTATTACACAGACTAACAAGCCTTCCTCTGTACACAGACTAACACAGCCTTCCTCCTATTACACAGACAAGCTCCAGCCTATTACACAGACAAACACAGACACCCAGCCTATTACACAGACTAACACAGCCTTCCTCTATACACAGACTAACACAGCCTTCCTTCTATTGCAGACTAAACAGCTTCCTTCTATACACAGACTAACACAGCCTTCCTCATACACAGACAAACACAGACGCAGCCTATTACACAGACTAACACAGACACCCAGCCTATTACACAGACTAACACAGCCTTTACTACGAACACAGACACCCACTATTACAGACAAACACAGACACCCAGCCTATTACACAGACTAACACAGACACAGCCTATTACACAGACTAACACATGCTTTACAGACCTCAGCCTATTACAGACAAACACAGCCAGCCTCTGTCACAGACTAACACAGCCTTCCTTCACGACAAACACAGACACAGCCTGTACACAGACAAACACAGACCAGCCTGTGCACAGACAAACACAGACACCCAGCTATTACACAGACTAACACTTCCTCCTGTACAAATACAGCCTTCTTCTGTTCACAGACTAACACAGCCTTCCTTCTATTACACAGACTAACACAGCCTTCCTTTACACAGACTAACACGCCTTCCTTCTATACACAGACAAACACAGACACCCTCCCTGTACACAGACTAACACAGACACCCAGCCTATTACACAGACTACAGCCTTCCTTCTATTACACAGACAACAGACACTCCTATACAGACACAGCACCCTTCACGATAACACAGACTCCCAGCTATTACACAGACTAACACAGCCTTCCTTCTATTACACAGACAAACACAGACACAGCCTATTACAGACAAACACAGACACCCAGCTATACACAGACTAACACAGCCTTCCCTATTACACAGACAAACACAGACACCCAGCCTATTACACAGACAAACACAGACACCCAGCTTTCTACACAGACAACACAGACACCCAGCCTATTACACAGAGACTAGCCTTCTCCTTACACAGACTAACACAGCCTTCCTTCTTTTACACAGACTAACACAGCCTTCCTTCTATTACACAGACTAACACAGCCTTCCTTCTATTACACAGACAAACACAGACACCCAGCCTATTACACACAATACAAGCCTTCCTTCTATTACACAGACAAACACAGACACAGCTTCCTACACAGACAAACACAGACACCAGCCTGTACACAGACAAACACAGACACCCAGCCTATTACACAGACTAACACAGCCTTCCTCCTGTACACAGACTAACACAGCCTTCCTTCTATACACAGACTAACACAGCCTTCCTTCTATTACATGAACTAACACAGCCTTCCTTCTTACACAGACAAACACAGCACTGCTATTCACAGACAACACAGCCTTCCTTCTATTCACAGACAAACACAGACACCCAGCCTATTACACAGACTAACACAGCCTTCCTCCTATTACACAGACTAAACACAGCCTTCCTTCTATTACACAGACAAACACAGACACCCAGCCTATTACACAGACTAACACAGCCTTCCTCCTATTACACAGACAAAACACCTTCCTTCTATTACACAGACAAACACAGACACCAGCCTATTACACAGACTAACACAGCCTTCCTCTATTACACAGACAAACACAGACACCCAGCCCTGTACACAGACAAACACAGCCTTCCTTCTATTACACAGACAAACGCCTTCCTTCCCTTACACAGACAAACACAGCCTTCCTTCTATACACAGACTAACACAGCCTTCCTCTATTACAGACAAACACAGCTCAGCCTATTACACAGACTAACACAGACACCCAGCCTATTACACATCAGAGCGCGGGTCTGGTATTGCCTACATTCGCTTTTACAAAATATAAATTTTTTCTCCTTACGCGACGCTGTCAATTATGTCACACCTTTTTTTCGTATAAATTCAATATACAGAACTGAAAATCCTGTGTATTATTTTGCATTTGAATTCTCTCGGTGTGTGTGTGTCAGGGGACCACGTGAAGGTAGGCAACCCAACTTATTTCACCTTAAAGCTATTTGGGGATTAGGTTAGGTTAGGGTAGAGTTGGAAATGAGTTAGGGTAGGTTTGGTTAGGTTAGGGTAGTGGGGTTAGGGTTAGGTTGAGTAGGTTAGGTTAGCTTAGGGTTAGGTTAGGTTAGTTAGGGTAGATTGGGTTAGGGTAGGTTATGTTAGGTTAGGTTAGGGTAGGTTAGGTTAGGTGTTTAATCATTAGCCGAAATAAGCTGGGTGCCAATCTTCAACCGATCCCTACACACACACACACACACACACACACACACACCTCAAAAGGTTAAAATGCCAATGACCTCTGACCTAATTCCCCTCCTCCCTGAATATCAAATACCCGTCGAGCAGAACCAGCTCCTTGACCTAACACTGGCGACTCACTTTGTTTACACGTCACACCTGAGAGGCCTTACCTATCACCTGTCTTCCCACCTGTCTCTCTACCTGTCTACCTATCTGTCTCCTCACCTGTCTCCCTACCTGTCTCCCTACCTGTCTCCTTACCTGTCTCCTTACCTGTCTCCTCACCTGTCTCCCTACCTGTCTCCTTACCTGTCTCCACCTGTCTCCCTACCGTCATTATATTTATGTCTAGTGCCTTGAGACAGACATCTCAACATTAATATTCATCCGCTGTGTTTGTTGTATAAATAGTGTATAAATAGTGTACATAAATGGATATATTGCATATTTATAATTTGACACGCGCTGGGATATTCAATTACACATACATACACCATACATACATACATACATACATACTCGCAAAAGCATACATACAGATAGATAACGTGTGTGATGGGTTAGTGGAAGGTGTCAGCAGTATACGGAGGAGGAAGAGGTGGGAGGTGTATCATGTGTCGAAGGGTGACGCTGGGTGGAAATATTTACCTCGTTATCCGGGAGAGAGAAGACGCAGTGGGTGTGAGGGACAAGGTGAGGTAACAAGGTGTGAGAGGTGAGGTTACGTTTGGTTGGGGTTAGGTTAGGTTAGGTCTATGTTAGATTAGGTTTGGTTTGGTTAGGTTTTTTTTAGGTTAGGTTAGGTTTGGTTTGGTTAGGTTTTTAAGTTAGGGTTGGGTGTAATTAGATTTCGGTTAGATTTGTGTTAGGTTTGGCTAGGTTAGGATTGTGAGGTTTAGTTTAGGTAGGTTGATGTATGTTGAGTGGTTTGGTGGGGTTTTTGGTGGTTGGGTGGGTGGTGGTTTGGTTTGGTTGGTTTTTGGGTTGGGTTAGGTGTATTTAGGTTAATTGGGTATTGTTAGGTTGGTTGGGTTAGGGTATGGTTAGGTTTGGTTTGGTGATTGATTGTGTTAGATTTTGGTTTGGGTTAGGTTGAGGTTGTGTTAGGTTTGGTTTAGGTTAGGTTAGGATTGTGTTAGGTTTGGTTTAGGTTAGGTTAGGTTTATATACGAGGATAGTTATCGTTTTATCATAAGTCAAACTGTAAGAGTTATTTTTTTTCTTTATATTTAAGAACAAATTAATTATCGTAAGACCATAAATGAATTCATGTTGGTGTTTAATCTTAAGTCAAACAGAAAGACATATATATACTTTTTATTTACGAGAATTTACGCCATTTTAGCATAAGTCAAAAGAACAAATTGCACCATTTTAGCGTAAGTCAAACAGAGAGAGTTTTTTACACTCTTATATACCATTATTTACACCGTTTTACCTTAAGTCAAACACCTAAACACTTTTTTTTTACATTTTTATTTACGAAGGATTTACACCGTAAAGAACCTTTTAAGGACAATGACCCGGGAAGAAGTAAAGGAATACTCACTGATGACGTCCTTGATAGCGGCCGCCGCACCACACGTCAGGAACTCGTTGTAGAAGCTGACCATCACTATCCCTCCGTTGGCTGCCTGTAGGAGTAGCAGAAGTAGACACCTTAACTGATGTATTATTTAAGAAGACCATAAGTCCCGCCTGCCTTATTCTGGTGGGGCTACAGTGAAACCTCTATTTAACGGACTATATGGAGGGAGGAGTCCGCTATATCGAGGATCCAGTAGATGTAAAACTTCTATCTAACGGGTAATATAGAAATAAAAGTCCGTTATATCGAGGGTCTAGTAGATGTAGAACCTCCATCTAACGGATCATATGGGATGAAAGTCCGTTATATGGAGGTCTCACTATCGCATAAGACCCGCCTGGCTATTGGTTTAAGGTGATGCTATAGACAGGTTATGTAAGTTGACTGTAATTCACACCTCTAAGACAATTCTGTATTTGATAGCAATAAAAAATAACTTTGGATCACCTAACCTAACCTAACCTAACCTAACCTAACCTAACCTAACCTAACCTAACCTAACCTAACCTAACATAACCTAACGTAACATAAACATAGTCACTTCAGATTAATGTAGTTGGGGGTCACGTGAACCTACCCATACACTATCCTAACCTAACCTAACCTAACCTAACCAAGAGGCAGGAACTTTAGAAGACCAGACAGACAAAAGAAGGATGTAACAGGATGAGGAAGACGACGCAGAAGGAGTCACTGAAGAGGTAGAGGAACAAGCACTCACCAGGGAACTAAGGATGTCATCGGGTACGTTTCTCTCTATGTCACAGAGGGCGCGGGCGGCCGAGTGAGAGAAGATGACGGGGGCGCGGGAGGTGGCCAGCACGTCTCCTGCCGTCCTGGAGGAGGCGTGCGACATGTCCACCAGCATCCCCACACGGTTCATCTCCCTGATCATCTCCTGAGGGTGATAGATAGAGATAGATAGATAAATAGATAGAGAGATAATTAGATAGAGATAGATAGATAGATAGAGAGAGATAATTAGATAGAGAAAGATAGATAGATAGATAGATAGAGAGGGGGAGGGAGAGAGAGAAAAAAGATTGGAGGAAAAAGAAGAAATATAATCAATTAAAAAAATTGGTCTGTTACAAATAAACAACTGCCGCCATAAAACAAACAATAATAAGATTCCTTTTATTTCAATTTATTTGGTAATCCTAAAGATAAATTTGTACAGTACAGCTAAAGCCAATTTATTTGTTTCATAAATTGTATTACTGATTGTCCTCTCTCTGCAGTGATAATTATCGTTTTATTCTCATTTATACTTTTATTATTCAGTCTTGTTTTCATGTCTAATACACACAAACATATTTATCGTTTTTGCTTCGTTTTAATATTACTAACAACTTACTAATTGATATTTCGTGTTTCGCTTTTAAATGAAATAAATTACAACATTGTGTCGGCGTGTTTATTTTTGGTTTCGTTTAGTGTTATTGTAACTAAACAACAACAACAAACAAGCGATAAAAACATCCTGGTCCTTAATTATATACCAATTATGGGAAAAATTTAATCGTCTTTTCAATTACAATTCACCGTCACACAAACGATCAAAACTAACTGGACAGTGGATAGATGAAGCTGAATTACGTGTGCGTTAAGTGTGGTTAAAAAATAGTGAGTCATTATGATGGTACAGACAAAAGCGATACATGAGTGTGGTGAAATAATCTGTAACTGGTAATAATATTTTCGGGTCTGTTGTTTGACTGGGGAGAAGGACGCCACTGTGGAACACCCGGAAGTTGGGAGCACGTCCAGGAAGTGATCACAGGAGGGCCATGTCGTCAGGAACACGTCGTGGAAGTGGCCATGAGGAGGGAGAGGCCACGTCGTGAAGTGGCCATGAGGAGGGAGGGCCACGTCGTCAGGAACACGTCGTAGAAGGGCATGAGGAGGGAGGGAGGGCCACGTCGTCAGGAACACGTCGTAGAAGTGGCCATGAGGAGGGAGGGAGGCCATGTCGTGAGGAACACGTCGTGGAAGTGGCCATGAGGAGGGAGGGAGCCACGTCGTCAGGACCACGTCGTGGAGTGGCCATGAGGAGGGGGAGGGCCACGTCGTGGAAGTGGCCATGAGGAGGAGGGGAGGGCCATGTCGTGAGGAACACGTCGTGGAAGTGGTCATGAGGAGGAGGGGGCATGTCGAGGAACACGTCGTGGAAGTGGACATGAGGAGGGGGAGGGAGGGCCATGTCGTCAGGAACACGTCGTGGAAGTGGCCATGAGGAAGGAGGGAGAGGGCCTCGTCGTGAAAGTGGCCATGAGAGGAGGAAAACCACGTCGTCAGGAACACGTCGTGGAAGTGTAATGAGGAAGGAGGAGGGCCACGTGGATCAGGAGGAACACGTCGTGAGTTGGAAAAAAACCCAGCTTTTTCATTCTCCACATTCATGAATATATTATTGTCTTGAAAGGAAACGCCAGGCGCGGGTGAATGCTCGTGCTGGCGTTGCAGTATCATAAGGACCTTAGGCTACCTGAACTTAACAAAGGCTTTCCTGCTTACCTGGTCCGTCAGGTGACTCAGGCGCTGTGGTAAAATGACACTAATCGCCTGAAGATATAAATACCCTAACGCTACCTGGGGGATTAGGTTGATTAGGTTAGGATAGCATTAGGACAGGTTAAGTTAGCATTAAGTTAGGTTACGTTAGGTGAGCATTAGGACAGGTTAGGTTAAGTTAGGTTAGGATAGCATTAGGACAGGTTAGGTTAGCATTAAGTTAGGTTACGTTAGGTGAGCATTAGGACAGGTTAGGTTAGCAATAAGTTAGGTTACGTTAGGTTAGCATTAGGACAGGTTAGGTTAGCATTAAGTTAGGTTACGTTAGGTGAGCATTAGGACAGGTTAGGTTAGCATTAAGTTAGGTTACGTTAGGTTAGCATTAGGACAGGTTAGGTCAGCATTAAGTTAGGTTAGGTTAGGAGGTTAATTATCAGGTAAAGTAAGTTTAAATGACCTAATCTTCAGGTGATCCTCTTCGCTTCCTCTCCTCAAGCTCCTCCGTTTCCCCTTCCCTAACTCCTTCTCCTCTAACTGACGGCTGTAACTCGGTTGACACACTTCTAACTGACGGTTCTAACTCGGCTGACACTCTTCTTACTAACGGCTGTAACTCGGTTGACACACTTCTAACTGACGGTTCTAACTCGGCTGACACTCTTCTTACTAACGGCTGATGCACGTGACTCCTCCCCTCCTTCCTCTTCACCTCGGGATCTCACAAGGCGGAAGCTGTGAGTCAGAGAGATGACAAGATTAATCTTCATCTTCAGGACATTATTCCGGGCGGGTAACGTCTTATTAGTACCTGTGCTTCTCTCCACCTCTACCCCCTTCCTCCTCCTTCTCTCCCCTCTTCACCCCTCTCTCCTACTTTCCTCCTCCTCCTCACCCTCTCTTCCCCCCCACCCTCTCCCTCACCCCTTCCTCCTCCTTCTCACCCCTCTTCCCCCACCTCTCCCTCACCCTTTTCCTCCTCCTCCTCACCCCTCTTCCCCCTCCCCACCTCTCCCTCCACCCCTTTCCTCCTCCTCCTCACCCTCTCTTCCCCCCACCCTCCCTCCCCCACCCCTTTCCTCTCCTCCTCACCCCTCTTCCCCCCCCCACCTCTCCCTCCACCTTTCCTCCTCCTCACCCTCTTCACCCCCCCACCCTCTCCCTCACCCCTTTCTCCTCCTCTCACCCCTCTTCACCCCACCCCTCTCCCTCCACCCCCCCCTTACACAGCTGGAGGTGGCAACATGTTGTTCTCCTCTGTGATGCATGTGTTGGTTTAACTGTCACTTCGGTGGTGGTGTATTGTGGTGTGAGCGGTGGTATGTGTGGTGTGTGGTGGTATGTTGTGGTGTGGTGTGATGTGTGTATGTTGTGTGGTGTGATGTGTGGTGGTATGTTGTGTGTGTGGTGTGTGTGGTGTGTGTTGTGGTGTGTTGTGTGGTGATATGTTGTGGTGTGGTGTGATGTGTGGTGGTATGTTGTGGTGTGGTATGTGGTGTGTGTTGTGGTGTGTTGTGTGTTGTGTCTTGTGGTGTGGTGTGTGTTGTGGTGTATGGTGTGTTGTGGTGTGGTGGTGGTTGGTGTATTGTGGTGTGTGTGTGTGGTGGGATATGTGGTGTGTGGTGGTATGTTGTGTTGTGGTGTGGTGTGTGGTGGTGTGTGTGTGTGTGGTGGTGTGTGTTGTATTGTGGTGTGTGGTTGTGTTGTGGTGGTGTGTGTGGTGGTGTGTGGTGTGGTTGTGGTGTGTGGTGGTGGTGTTTGTGGTGTGGTGTGTTGTGGTGGTGTGTGTGGTGGTGTGTGTGGTGGTGTTTGATGGTGTGTGGTTGTGTGTTTTGGTGTGGTGGTGGTGGTGATGACTTACGAATAGTGGCCGAGTGGATACAACATTCTCTTCCTCTCCTAATGTTCACTGGTTCGATCCGGAGACACTACCCATGCAGCTGTAAATAGACTCCTAACTTACAATCTAGGCAAGTGGAGGTAGTCGAGCGTAGGTCACATTACACCTTCAAGACGTTATATAAAGTTTAACTCCTGATCCAAGACACGTTAATCTAGCTCTCTCTTTTTTTTTTTCTAGGCTGAGCGAGACGTCACTCATTTAAGGTTTTTATTCCAGACTGACGCTTGAGTGTTAGTTAAAGTTCTGGAGCTCCTCTCTGTCTGCCGTGACGTCATCATTCCTGTATAGTCGTAGTGTAGTGTAGGTTGTGTTTGTGGGGGTGGTAATTAGGTTAGGTTAAGTTAGAAGTCTTGTTAGATTAGGTATTAGGTTAAATTAGAAGTCTTGTTAGGTTAGCGTTAGGGTAATTAATCCTCAGGTCAAATAAGTTAAGGTGTCTAATCTTCAAGTGATCCGAGTCCTATCATCTCCTCCAGGGATTCAGAGGCTATAGTTGAAGTGTGGGGTTAGGGGGATGGTGGGGGCTAGGGTGATGGGAAGTGGTGTGGGAGGAAGCGGGAGTGGTTGGGAGGGGGGTGGTTGGGACGGGTTGGTGGGACGGGGGTGCTGGAGGTGGTGGGCGGAGGTGGTGGGGGGGGGGGGGTGGTGGGCGGGTAATCGGTTTAGAGCAGACCAGAGCCTCACCCTTATCACACTCCGGAGAACAGGTAAGCGACCACCTGGGGTGTTAACCTCCCTAGCTTAATGCACTGCCACACATCGACGGGGAAATAAACGTGTCATGACCATCAGTGGGGCGCGTCATGTAGGACCCTGACGACCCCGGCAAAACTTCCACAGCTGCCGGTGACGGAGAGTCAAGCATACTTGGTGGTGTTAGGGGTGGGTGTTTGTGGGGGATGTGTGTTGTTAGTGTGTGTGTGTGTGTGTGTGTGTGTGTGTGTGTGTGTGTGTGTGTGTATCAACAGTCAGCATTTTTGCTTTAATGAATTTAATATTTTATATGCTGACTCACACTTGAGGCCTGGAATGTTCACTGAAATTCATCCCTAATTAATATATAACGTAAGATCAAGGTGAGTGTTGGAAAGAGGTAGGTGATGGGTTAAGAGAGAGAGTGTGTGTAGTTAGCATCTCTATTGGTACGTTAGTGAGTGAGTCTGTGTCAAGAAATAGCTTCTTTCTCTCTCTCTCTCTCTCACCCGTTGTAAACATGTTTGTGTGTTTGAGCGTTTGTGTGAATATTTTACTGTTATTGGTTGCAGGGGAGAGAGAGGGTTGTGGTGTAAATTTCCAAAAGGATTCCAGGCGATTTGGGTGATGGGAAGGGGATACGTCGAATAGAATTTGAGAGTAAATCACCCCATCCCACCCCACCCTCTTTTTTTTTCTAAGTTCTGGAAACCAATGCGATTTTTTTTTCGGTGACGTGAGACATAAAAGGCAAAATTGTTTTTCGTTGACTTTTAAATTAATATTTTTGAATGTCCTTCTGAAGGTTGTAGGATTGGTGATGGAAGTCCTTTAATGTGGAAGTCCTTCAACCTCCACGGGAATATGAGGAAATTAATAGTCAGGAAATAACTAGATTTTAACCTGGAATTGTAAGCGACTTTGTGCTCTGAGTGAAGTACTGGTGGGTGGTGGTGGTGACGTGTTAGATAGATATTCAGTAAAATCATCCATACTTATATAGATTGGTTCAGCATGTATACAGTATGTTACAGTCAAATTGTATTATCAGTCAATTTAAGAAATGGCTGAAAAAAATGAGTTAAGTAGCGAATTGAAGGTCTCACTCGGCTAAAGCTGGATTTGGATAGTTTAGGTTTGATTAGTATTAAATTATAATAGGTTTAGTTATGTTAGATTAGAATAGGTTACATTAGGTTAGATTAGATTAAGTTAGGTTAGGTTCACTTAGGTTAGGTTAGCATTAGAATAGTTACGTTAGACTGCCTTGATTTTTCCTCCTGTGATCTGATATCATGATTGTACTTCTTGACTGAGTCTTGACATACATAGCCAGGGAAAGAACTTAAAGCTGTAATATTGGGCCGGTGTTCCCTACAGCAGCCGTGACAACAGGGCTTGATCTACCTCCTCCTGCAGGCGGGTTCTCTGTTGCGGGTCACCTGGAGATCACACGCTATAGCTTATTTCACCTGGTGATTTAAACACCCTAACCTACCCTAACCTAGCATTATTGCATTTAATCACCTGTCTAATCTTCACGTGATCCCGATAATCATTTATCCCGTGTACAACTGCGTTAATACAAACTGGAAGTCTCTTTATATCTCTAATTAGCGTTAATCATAAGTCTATCACATTTACACTCACTCCCAGGTGAGTTTAGATAAATAACGTTAATTACGGTAAGTCGAAATTTGGCTGGATTTACACTGGGATGGAAAATTTCATTAAACTGAATGATTATATATATATATATATATATATATATATATATATATATATATATATATATATATATATATATATATGTATGTATTATATATATATATATATATATATATATATATATATATATATATAT